CAGTTTTTGATTTGAATGACTTCCTTCAATATACGGACGGTGTCTTGAGAACTGGTATACAGATCGTTGCTTTTACATAAATATGCATAATTAAATGAAACGAAATGGACAGAGGACATGGTTTGATTTAATTGGGATTCTTTCATTTGATTTATGGTTTCCTTTTCTACCAATTACGATTCCACTCTAAAAAACACTGTGTCGGCCAATTATTTGGCATCGAATGGGAAATTATGTTATACAAAACTGCTAATTTCATTAGTAGTTGGTTTTACTGTTTCGGTTAGCCTTGATATGTACCCATTGCAAAAATCTAGATTTTTTGGTTATTGTTGAATAATGATAATACTGCTCAATGGGAGAGAAAAAAACTCCTAGTGGTTGGACTTCTTCGTCGAACTTCCTACGCAATGCTCTAATTATGTAAATATACATGTACATATATTATAACAAAGGAATTCTTGATGTCAAGTCAGTCAAATAGACCGATGCAATTAGTCTTAGTTTCATTCCAAGTCTCATGAAGGATAAATATACGAGGAAATGTATCTGTGAAACACGTATGTAAAATCATAGGGACTAGAAGTGAATGAATATATTATATGATTATTGACACCTGACAAAAATTTCAAAAATGAGATCTTAAAGAAGTTCGAGCGGTTTTTATTTACTTTTTCGTTTTTTGTAGCTCCTTAAGCAGTAGATCGATTTTCAAAAATTATAGACATTTTCGTCCTAGGCGTAGCAGTAATGATCAAGATCCCTGAAACGTCAAAAAAAGTAAGAGCAATTGGTATTTTTCTCTAACGTAACTGGCCAATTATTCAAAAAGTAGTAGTAGTAACAGTGTTTAAAAATTTCATCCAAGTCGGAGCAGTACTTTCCAAGTTATGGACGGGCCAAGGATTTGCGGACAGACCGATAGACAGACCAACGGAAATGAGTGACACGGTTTCTCGTGATGTATATGTCATGAAACAAACATCCAAAAACATATCTCGTTTTTGTAAACTTTTTGCGATTACAATAGCTCCTCGTCAGTGGTGTGAGAATTAGAAAATAAAGTCAGTCAAACAGGTCCCTACAATTAGTCCATCGACATTTTTTCCCCTGTTTTACCAACTGTAAACACCATCTGGCAACGTTGTTACAACTAACTTCTCCCTTACTTTTTCCGCTCGCCGGTCGCCACATTCCAGCCTCGGCACCGTGGCAGCCACCACCGACTACACTTCTCGGTGAGTCAGCGCCGGAAGGTTTACCCGGAGACGCGTGTGTTAAAAATATTTCTCTATCATTCTTTTATTCAGCTAGTTAAGGAAAAGGCTGAATTGCATAAGAAATTTAAATTTACACGCAATGCTGATGTTTATGAAGATTTTAGTAGGCTCAGAGTAACTGTTAAGCAGAAAATAAAAGAAGCTTGTGACCAGTACCTAAAATCAGTTAAAACATGAACCGAAATCATTTTGTTCGTTCATGCATCAAAAAAATAATACTTCTAGGATTCCTGGACAAATGTCTGATGGAAATGAAATTTTCAATGATCCTAAAAATATCACTAATGCTTTCGCTAAGTTTTCGAGAGTGTTTACTTTGTACCTGATATTACTGATGAACAACTTAGTTTTGACTTTCAAGGATGCGATCTGTTGGACATTACCTGCGTAGCGATAACTGAGCGCGAAATTCTAAAAGTTGGACGAAAATTAAAAAACAAGTTCACTTCTGGGCCAGATCAAATTCCATTTTTCTTAAAGACTGCATAGCAGTACTAGCAAGGCCACTTCTAGTATTGTTTAATTTGATCCTGAATACTTCCGATTTTACTGACAAGTTTAAATTTGCTTCAATATGCCCTATATTCAAAAGTCAAGCTTCCACTAACTACAGGGGAATATCCATTTTGAACAATTTTGCTAAGCTTCTTGAAATGATTTTATATGATCGAATCTGCCAGTCTGCAAAACATTGTATTTCTATTTATCAACACGGTTTCACGACGTTTTGGTCAACTATTAGCAACTTAGCGATGTTTAGCCAGTTTCTATGTGAAACAGTTGAAAGCAGCGGTCAATTTGATGTAATGTATGTCGACTTCCAAAGATTTTGACAAGATCAGTCATGAGATTCTCCTCAAGAAACTTTGTTATCTAGGTTTACAAAATAATTATTTCTTGCTATTAAAATCATATTTATCTAATAGACAACAATATGTATGTGTAAATAATGTGAGATCACAAGTATTCACTGCGACTAGCGGTGTGCCGCAGGGATCCAATTTGGGACCTCTTCTATTCTCAATTTATATCAATGATTTGTGTGATTCAGTTAATTGCAATAAGCTATTGTTTCCGGATGATTTAAATATATATATATATATATATATATATATATATATATAACTTGAGACGTGGTCATTGTCGTCTAGACCAGTTAGGTGAAAAATTAAAGCTTCCGCCTTTTGTTGGGTACTTCGGCAAAATTTAAGCAAAGAGGACTCTTTATACTTTTTTTAATTCTCTCTAGCTTTCAATGGACTTTGCCATCATCATGAGGAGAGTAGTATGTGAGGATGTTGCTAATTGTTGTTTACGTATAGGATGAGGGAAACGTCCAGTAACATGGTGAGAGCTGGATAGATTAGAACTTTTTTAAATAATTTTTAATCTGTTTTTAACTTGTTCTTGTCATATTTTATATAATTTTGACCATTGTACCATCTATCCAGCTCTCACCATGTTACTGGACGTTTCCCTCATCCTATACGTAAACAACAATTAGCAACATCCTCACATACTACTCTCCTGATGATGATGGCAAAGTCCATGGAAAGCTAGAGAGAATTAAAAAAAATATAAAGAGTCCTCTTTGCTTAAATTTTGTCGAAGTACCCAACAAAAGGCGGAAGCTTTAATTTTTCACCTATATATATATATATATATATACAGGGTTATCCAAATTGAGTGTCCACCATTAGTAACTTTGTTATTAGTGAAAATACAAAGTTGTTTGAATTAGCAAACTAGTAGCATTTTTAACGCTGGTAAAAATGAGAAATAAAAAAAAAGAATTGAGAGTCGTTATTTTGATTTTTTTCAGTAAAATAACATTTTTATAAATGGAAACCCCTGTATATTATATTTTTTTCTGTTAAAGCATCAAATTTTAAACAAAAAAGCTTACAATAACTTTTCTCCTAGGTTACAAATTGTTGAAGTTATGGCCTCCAATCTGAAACAATTAAATTGTATCGACAAACTTTATTTTCAACATCAACTTATAATCTTACAAAATACAATAACAATTTTTTTTAAAGAAGATGCTCGAAAACACCACCTTGTTCTTCAATACATTTTTGGGCACGTTTTTCAACTGCTCGAACTGTCTTAAGTATGGTCCTACCACCTATCTGGGTTATCTTTTCCCTAACTGCAGTCTTTAACGCGTCAAGGTTATCGTACCTTCGCTTGTAAATTTGGTTCTTTAAGTAACCCCACAAGAAGTAATCAAGTGGGTTTAGATCTGGTGATCTGGGAGGCCACTGTATTGGGCCATTTGTTCCTATCCACTGATCATTAAAAGTAGTACTTAGAAAATGATAAGTACCTCTGGAGTTGTGGGCAGGTGCGCCATCTTGCTGAAAATGCAGATGATGTCTACTTATAAGATCCAATTCGTCTAAGAAATTAGTCAGAATTTCTGACATAAATTCCACATATCTTTCACCAGTTAGGGTCCCCTCATAAAAGAACGGGCCAACAATTTTTGAACCAATTATACCGCACCAAACGTTGAAACTGAAACGGACTTGTGGGCCTCTTGGATGTACTAACAAAAGATTTTCTCTTGACCAATAAAGGTGGTTTTTTCTATTAAACATTCCAGAATTTGAAAAATTTGATTCATCTGTCCATAAAAGGTAACGAAAGTTATTTACATTTTGGCGACAGAAGCTAAGATACCAATGGCAAAAAACAAGTCTTCTCTCTGGATCCCCTGCCAAAAAAAAGCGTTTGAACTGGTCGGTACTTATACGGAATAAATTTGTATTTTTTTAAAATCCTTTGAACAGTACCATAACTGAAATTAGAGTCCTTGAGAATATCTGCTATTGAATTCTCACGATAAGCTTCAAAATATCCAATAACTGCAATTTCCGTGGCCTCGCTTATTATGAATTCTTTTTTTGCCCTTGTTTTAGCAAAAACATTTTCGTTGCCCCTAAATTTTCGATAAAGTCTCAGAAAATATCGTTCATACGGTTGAATGCGAGCGGGATATAATTCACTGTAGTATTCTCTTGCTCTCAAGGAGGATTTTCTGCACACTAAATAGCATTGTAACATATCACACTTTTCTTCATGGGAGAACATTTTTCTTTAAATTAATGACACAATAAAGCTTATAAACAAGTATTTACACTAATGTTTGACATTATTTGATTCTATCATTGTTTTCCAAAGCCTTCTAGTTGCGAGTATGTCCAGTTTAACAATTTGTCGCTTATCTTAATGCTGTCAAATCGCGAACGCCATGTTGTTTTCATAACCGTCTTAATATTATAATACTGCAAATAATTAAAAATATTTATCGTTATTTTGACTTTATTTTTGACTTTAGCGGAAAAGTCATTATGAACTTTTTTGTTTAAAATTTGATGCTTTAACAGAAAAAAATATAATCTACAGGGGTTTCCATTTAAAAAAATGTTATTTTACTGAAAAAAATCAAAATAACGACTCTCAATTGTTTTTTTTTATTTCTCATTTTTACCAGCGTTAAAAATGCTACTAGTTTGCTAATTCAAACAACTTTGTATTTTCACTAATAACAAAGTTACTAATGGTGGACACTTAATTTGGATAACCCTGTATATGTATATATATATATATGTATATATATATATATATATCAGTATCCAGTGAAGAGGACTGTACGAGAGATGTCTTTTAAGTTTTGCATATGGAAATAAAGAACGTAGGTAGTTTTGAATGAATTTATTGTTTTTCGAAGTATTCTCCACGAAGATTAATACACATCTGCATGCGCTCTAACCAATTTTCGATGCACTTATTCCACTCGTTTGCTGGCAGATCCATAACGGCATTTTTGGATGCGTCAACTGCTTCTTCTGGTGACTGGAACCTTTGACCACGCAGTCTGTTTTTAATTTTCGGGAGAGTAAAGAAATCGTTAGGACTTAAAACGGGACTTTTTGTAGGATGGTCCAATAATTCCACGTTTTCTTCCGTTAAATTCTGCCTTGTTTTTTGGGCTGTGTGCGAGCTTGCATTGTCTTGGTGGAGGATGATTTTTCTTTCGGGGTTGATTTTTCGAAGCTCGGTGATGACTTTTGGCAAACAAATGGTGGTATACCAATCCGCAGTAACAGCTCTTTGCTCATTAAGAGGAATTGTTGCAATATGACCCGCTTTTGATACAAATGTCGGGACCATCTTTTTCGAAACACTTCGAGAATGGATGACTTTTGTTGGCTTTTCTTCACCTTGGAACACCCAAACAGCCGACTGTCGTTTATTTTCTGGTTCATAACAGTAAATCCACGATTCATCACCACTAATAATGCTGTACACATTTTTTGAGTTTCCGGAATTGAAACGGTCAAGCGTTTTTTGACAAAAATTAACCCTCGCTGCTTTCTGCTCTTCAGTCAACAGGTGGGGTATACAACGAGAAACTAATTTTCTTACTCCTAACTCTTCATGTAAAATTTTTTGAATTGAGGTCTTTGAGATCTTCAAGGACGCCTCAATCTCGCGATATGTCACATGTCTATCTTCAATGGTGGGTTTGCACCCAGTATCGACGCGACGTTTTCCTGGGTGACTGCCGTTTTTGGTGCACCCACCCTGGGATCATCGCTAAGACTCACCCGTCCACGTTTGAATTCTCAATACCAACGGGAAATTGTCGACTGACGTGGCGAAAACAGACAGTAACTCAGCAAGGCATTCTTGTTGCTATAATTGTCTCTGAAAGTTGTAATAAATTATGGCGCGAAAATGTTCTCGGTTGAGTTCCATTTTTCTAATGACTTGGTGACACTTAAAAATTCACTGTAGTGAGAACACTTCACGTATTGTTGTGAAACTTAAAAGACATCCCTCGTATCATCTTTCAGGAACAAATCACTTTCCTACAGAACTGATGTGTCAGACATCATCTGCACTTGAACATATTTAAATGCAAAGTAGTAACATTCAGTCGCAAGTCCAAGCCTACATCTTATCGGTATACTATTGAGAATTCGACACTAGGAAGAACCGATTGCATTAGAGATATAGGTGTCTATTTTGATAATCATTTGATATTTAGTTTTCATGTAAGCCAAACAGCGCTGAGTGCTTGTCGCACATACGGTTTTATTGTTAAGAATTGCAAGAATTTCAATGACACCTCAGCATTATCGTCTCTGTATTTCAGTCTAGTAAGATCCAAACTGGAATATGGCTCACTCATATGGAGTCCTATATATAGCCAATACATCGTTGCTATTGAAAAAGCACAAAAGAAAATGTTGATATTCATAGCTTTTAAAATCGATGGTGTGTATCCACCAAGAGGCTGTAGTTATCCTGAGCTACTACATAGATTTGATTATCAGTCTTTGGAGAGCCGTAGATATCAGTTATCTGTACTTTTCTTGCACAAGCTTTTCAATGGAAAAGTAGATTGTCCTGTATTGTTAGCTCAAGCAGATATTCTGGTTCCTAGAATAACATCTAAACAATACAATACCTTCCTGTGCAAAAGAGCGCAAACTAACTTATTATTAAAGGCTCCGATCAATTTTACGTGCCGAAATGCCAACAAAATTGTAAGTGTATGTGACATTTTTCACTGCAGTGTCTGCGAATTAAAGAATAAATCTCGAGCCCATCTATGATTGATTTTGGTTAAGATTTTCATGTTTCTTCTATTTCTGCTTTTTTTTGTTTTTCTAAGATATTTTCATTTTGTGCTGTAACTACCAGGTAAGCTATACTACTGCTTTTTGCTCTGTAAATGGTAATCACTGTTGGGCAATAAACGCATTATTATTATTATTATTATTATTATTATTATTATTATTATTATTATTATTATTATTATTATTATTTCAGGGTCAAATGAATGGAGAAACCTATTTACCAATGTTGCATGGATGGATGCACGTTGGAGGAAAAGCTTAGCAATGCGTTGTTTTACGACTTCAACTAATTCAAGAGTATTTCTGTTCAAAGTTCGTTAAAAATGGACAAAGAGGACAGATAAAAAACCAGAAAATGTACTCGCATTTCCAAATCACAAACGTATCGCCAGGACTGTGTTAAACTATGTAGGAGCCCTAGGCACACAGGAAGCCGGTACCTGGGGCTGGAGAGGTCCGGGTCCCTACTTTGCTGTTGAGTAAACATAAAGTCGCGAAAGGGGGCGCACCAATATTTTTTTAGATTTTGTTTCGTTTTTGTGCATTTGGGGACGGAATACCGTATAGCGATAAGTCTGCTTATGCAATGCCGTGGGATAAGATACCTAACACTTAATTAAACACTTCTTACATTGTGTACTCTGTAACGATTACACCAACTTTGCGAACCAGTTTGGCCAAAATAAAGTACTCCACTATAATACAGTAGCCTAATAATATTTTGAAGATTATGTAAATCGGGGGGCATGCGTGCAAAGCTTCTCCGCAGCAAATTTCAGTACTCTAAAAGGTAAAAGGTAGGTGCAGGTAGAACGGACTAAATCAGAAACTGGATCTGAAATTAACTTAATTAATGTTTTTTAAAAGGCTTTGCCTCGTAAATATAGGATGGTTGAAAATTAAAACAAAAGGATTTAGAAAATTGAGTGTTGGACGAAGAATCAGTGGTGTACTAGTGTTAGTGGTTGAGATGCAGTGTTGAGAAAGAAAATCGATTCTACTAATATAGAACAACAGCTGTTATCGACAAAACTTTTAGTTATTGACTTCTGCTGTTGCTGTAGAGAGGATTCTGAAGAACACTGTATAGTTTCGATTCAGTACAACGAATTCAGAATAGGTAGGAGACAGACAAGGATTTGATTGTCTTCTAATTCTTGCAGTCTGTAGTGATGATCAGAGTGCACTCGACATACGTCAATTTTTTCACAGTACTGACATTGAATTCCTATTTTCAGTGTTATCTTCAAAAAATGCGAATATTTGCACGTAATTGTGGTGTTAGCCGATTTCAAGTCATTGCACTTTTACATGATTCGCGAAGAGAGGCACAAGCCTAATCAAGGTAGACGTTTCCACCGGTAAGTGGTATTATTTATTTATTTATTTATTTACTAGTATATACACTATCTGAACGGTTTATTACACCATTTAACGGATAGGAACACAGGAATCAATTTTAAGACAAAATTGTTCAAAAATAACTTAAAATTGCCAAATGACTTAACCTACTGTTATGTAAAATCTTTTTAAGCTACGCAAATTACAAAAGAACAAATCTACTGCGTTTCTTGCACGTTCATAGTTGTTACATACTACATATATCGGAGAGGAAAGCAACGCATTGGTTCTAGCTACGTTTAAGTAAAAGTATTTTGAATTGGATCGCGTCTTAGCATTAGGTACATGAATATTCACAATCTATGGCGTTATTAAGCATTTTATATAAAAATACACAAGCAGCGTAGTTTCTGCGCTTCTCCAAGTTACAGAGGTTATATCTGCTAAGTAATACATCATGCCTGAAGCCAACTTCTGGATACGTACCATCTTCCTTGAGCCACAAATATTTCACAAACCGCCTCTGAATACGTTCAATTTTATTCGAGTGAACTTCATGAATTATATACCGAGATCATGTATGCACATTATTGAAATACCTGCAATTTCTGATAATGAAGCCCAAACTTTTATAGGCCTTGCTAACAACAGCATCAATATGCGAAACAAATGTAAGTTTGGTATCAAAGGATATACCTAAGTCATGAAACTCTTCACACATGTTAAGTTGCGAATTATCAGTGTTATATATGAATCTGATTGGAACAAGTTTGCGCGTAATAGACATAGTGTAGCATTTATCAGCATTAAGGTACAGCTTGTTACGGTGACACCACTTATTTAGGTTGCTCAAGTCGTTTTGCAATATATTACAGTCGCCCATGGTTTCAATTTTACAAAAAATCTTCAAGTCATCTGCATATAGAAGGCAGCTATTGTGTAGCTCCCCAACGACGTCATCAATGAAAATTTTGAAAAGCAGAGGGCCAAGAGCAGACCCTTGAAATATGCCAGAAGAAGGTATAATCTGAGTGGAGATGACCCCTGTATTCGACTTTCAAGCATCTATTTGTAAGATAAGATTTGAAAAACTTCAAGAATTGATGGGTCAACCCTCTTTAACAAAATACCGTGATCTAGCTTATCAAAAGCCTTCGAAAAGTCAACGTAAGCAACATCTACTTGCCCCCCTTCATCAACAACTTCAGAGCAAAACTGTTTAAAACACGCTAGATTAGTTAAAGTAGATCTGCTTTGGAAAACCTTACCGACGTTGCTTATAATCACAACAGCTCTATAATTCTCAATGACACAACGTTCGCCTTTTTTAAATATGGGAGCAATCCTAGATGTTTTTCAAGTCATGGGAAATGTTGTAATATTAAGAGATATGTTATACAGATAAGCTAAAGGTTCAGCTAAAACAAAAGCATAGTCTTTCAGTAAACATGCAGGGATTAGATCTGGAGTGGAAGATACATTGGGTTTAATCTTTTTCAAAGCGGCAACAACCTGTTTTTCAGTAATCATTGGTATATTCAACGGTAATGAGGCGCAGTCAAGTGAGTCTGCGGGTGCAAAGTTTGTGGAAGGTGAGTATGTGGACTTGAAAAAATCTGGAAAAGCGTTGACAATATCTTGCGGTTCGTTAAGTTGAGTTTTATCAAACATCATGGTATCAGGGATATGAGAAGTATTTCTCAAAGAATCAATAAAACACCAAAATCTTTGAGCGTTAGTAGCTACGCCCTGTTCAATTTTAGCGGTATACCTTTGAAATGCAATATCAATGCTAATTTTTATGTTTCGAAAAACGTCGCAGTCAACAGGATTACAAGTTCTTTTACACCGTTTCCATAGTCTTCGCTTTTTCTTCATTTTAAAAATAATAGTATTGTTGAACCAAGCAGGGTAAGAAGTGTTCTTTGGGAGTGTTCGGGGTACATTCCGATTGATTGCCGGGAATAGTATTTCATAGAACTGATCACACGCTTCGGTGATGCTACCAAGGGAATATAGAGGAGTGAAGCCTAGAGCAGCGATATCGTTATACAATGTGTGCATGTTAGCTCTTCTATAATTGTACTCAGGAATTGCATTAACGTCAAATTTGTCGAATTTATCTTCCATAGAAAAAAATATATCAAGCGGGGGATGATAGCTATCAACTGGAAGCAAAATATCTGACGCCGAGTTAACCTTCAATTATGTCGATACAATGCTATTACTTAGGCATTGGTAGATGAATGAGTCAAAAGTATGCACTTAAACTAAGCATTTTTGGCGACAATGCTTGTTCCCTTCTTATCTATTCGAACTTGTGAATTCAGTATATTACAAAACGGATATAGTCAGTCTCATTTCTAAATTTGCTTTTCGACAATACTTCCGTCGATGTTTATCAGATGAAAAACAAAAATAAAATATTCCTCAGCTAATTCCAACGTACAATGACAGGAAAAGAAAGAAACAAATGTGAGAACATTTTCTATGGATCGATGGTCGTTTTTTTCAGTACCCTTTGCCTTGTTAGTGCGACGGAGGGTGGTCCCGGCGTATTATGCATACGTTTCCTGTGAAATAATGCTTCCGCTGAGTCTGGTGAGTCTTCAGGAAGCACGGCCTCTCGCTCACAGTT